TTTCCACACGCGATAGTGTATTCGTAATTAAGATATTCGTATCTCGTTATTACTTATGATCACGGATGATTTTAAATTCACTCATATTTTATTTGTATCTCACAATCGCAACTCCTTATGATTAACAAATTACAAAGACTTGAATTTATGAATTCTATCATTTAATTTATTAAAATATTAATTCAATTAAATAATAGATCTTGTCATAAATATCCATCAATTATATAATAAAAGTGTTTATTTCCAAAGTTGATTAAACCTAGGTATAACACTTATAAACTCCCATTTGCACTAGATTCAATCACTTATGTATCTTATATCAAAATAGTCTACACGAAGATGATGTTTATGTTGCGAAAACTCTTTGTCAATGGATTTGCAATTTAATAACTTGTGAGAATTCGTTCTTTCCTTATGTCATTTTTTTGAATTATCTTTCCAGTTAGATAATACCACCTTAACACATGTTTGGATAATTGATAAGACGTTAGTTCCTTATTTTGCATGATGACTCCATTATTATTATAATGCAGAAATATGTGATCAACAACGTTAGGAGCTACTTTAAGTTCAGTGATGAACTTCCTAATCCAAACCACAACTTTTGTTACTTTCTAAAACAATAATGTATAAGGCTTCAACTATTGATTCAACGATTGTTTCCATTTTGGAACCTTTCCAACATACCGCTTAAGAGTAAACTAATATCTTAATTGAGATATGGTGTCATTATAGTCTGACTAAAAGTTTGCATCAATATATCCATGAATTCTCAGTTCATTTTTCTTCATATAAAATCTTCTCAAGATTTCATCTATATAGATTGGGATCAGTTAAGCAATCTTCTAGATTTATCTATAGATCAAGTTGCTTGTCACATATCTATCACGAAAAAATTATTTGACAACCATAATTTTAACAATTGAAATATAGAGACGTCGTTTCCTATTAATAATATGTCATACATATAAAATTAGGATTGCGATAATATTCTCACTATCTTCTCGTAAACACACAATTCGTCTTCATTTTTTATAAAATCAAATATTTTGAATTTTTCAATCCATATATGGATTGATCAAGCCTGTATACTTTGTTGGTTTCTTTGGATTCAAAACCTTCGAGTTTTGTCATGTACACTTCCTCTTATAAGTTCCTATTAAGAAACATAATTTTGACATCCATTTGCTATAACTCATAGCTATGGTATGCAACTAATACAAGCAAAATCCAAATGGACTTTAGCATGGTTATATGCTAAAAGGTTTCATTAAAGCCAACTCACTGCCTTTGTTTATAACCTTTTGATACTAGCCTTGATTTTTATGTAGGGATGTTTCCATCCATTTTGACATTTTTCTTTTAAATTGATTTATAACCCATTAGGCGGGTCGACCAACACTTGACTTTACTTATGCATAATTAGTAGGTTCATCATCCTCGATTAGTAATGCCTAATTAGTAATCATGGATTTGTACCTTCCAGAAGGTTGAATGATCCTACAAATTTACATGGAGCTAACGTGTCTTTAGGAGTCTCCATTTCCTAATCAATAGTATATCCCTCAGCAGATGTGTCATCAGACTCAAGTTCATCTACTTGGTCAACTACATCTGTAAATTCTTGAACTCCATCAAAATTTATTCTACTTCCACTGTCCTCTCATAAAATAAACACTTTCTATTGGAATATCGCATGTCTTGAGATGGACACCTTCTTCTCAACAAGATTATAAAATTGATATCCAATTGTCTCTTTTGGATATCCCACAATATACATTTATCGAATTTAGTCTCAAATTTATCTGATTCAGTGTGCTTCACATAAGCATCATAGTCTCAAACTTTCATATGAGATAAATTGGGCCTTCTGCCTTTCCATAACTCGTATGGAGTTTTGTCAACCGATTTAGACGGGACATGATTTAGTGTGTAGCACGTGGCAATCGGTGCATGATCTCAAAACGATTTTGAAATGTTTGCATTGCTTGTTTTTAATTGTACTATATCTAATAGTGCATGAATCCACTGCAAGAGAATCTAATTCTTTTTTAGATAATCTAAAATTCTCAATTTTAGATATTCTCCACATCGATAAGATCTTAGTGTGAGAATACATTTACATATTTGTTTCTCTATTTCTAGCCTGAATCCCTTGAATTTCATCAAGTATACATGACCATTTCTGAAATAGTCGTTAGTAAATGTGATGAGATAAGATAAGAAAGATTTCATCTATCATTAATTGATATGGGTTTACATACATCACTATATATTGTACCAAGTAATTGTGCAAATCTTTCACATTTTCAAGTAAAAGGGGATTTGGTCATTGTGCCTAACATGCATGTTTCTCATTTGTCAGATAATTCAAAATCATTTGACCCAAATATACATCTCCATGTAATTTCGGAATTGCATTCTTATTTATATGATCAAATCTACAATGCCAGATATATGTGTTATTCAGATTATCATTTTTGTACCTTTCAATTTCTATACTTATTATAGAATACTCAATATTTAGAATATAAATGTCATTTTGTAATTTACTATAACCATTAAAATCTTATCAAGATAAAAACTGAACAGCAATTGTCCTTAACATTAAAATAATTCATGTCCAAACAAAAAATTCAAATAATGTTCTTGGCAATGGTGAGAACAAAATAACATTCCTCTAAGTCTAATACTAGGCCTAAAGGAAATGACAAGAAATATGCTCCTACATGCAATGTATCAACCTTTCCTCATTTTCAATGTGCAGGTCAAATTCCCCTTTCTGCAGTAATCTACTTCTATTTATTTTCTACATATTTATACAAATATAAGATCCATATTTGGTATCTAATACCTAAGAATTTAATGTAGTAGACATAAGCCTTACAATTTCTTTTCTAATGACCTATAATTTGAAAATGATAATAAGGGTCATTAGATTTGGTGTTATCCTTATTCGCTTTGACTTTCTTAACCATCTTGGTTGCTTTCATAAAGCATCCTTTAGACTCTCTAAAGGAATCTATGACTAAGATTTGTCCACTACAACTTATATATTGGGTTTAACAGTCTTTAGCATGTTCAACAACTCAATGTGTGTATCGAGTTTATTCATGTTAAATTCATAATTAGCTATCAATAACTTTCTGGCAGAGATTGAGAAATCAAGTCTATTCTTAGTTCATGGTTCATAATTGAACTCAATTGAGATAGCTTCTCAATATAGTCAACATCTTCAGTACACGAGCACTTACTAAAGATTGTTTTGCCATTATGCATTGGTATAGTTGTTAGGAAATCTCATATCTTTCCACACATGATTGTTCATCATTCAACACGTTGAGATGAAAAATCATGGGTTAGCATCTATACTCTCATGTTGCTTTTGTAATTCAGGTTACATAGATGCAAGGATCGAATGTTGTAGTACTATCGTCATCACTATGTTTATTATAGTAACTACCTCTTCCTTTATCGAGTCTCAGCAAGTGTCTCTGGAAAATGCTTCTCAAGGACATAACCAATATTTTCATGCCTAAGAACAATTCTCAGATTGCAGTGCCAATCAAGAAAATTTGGTTTGGTTGTGACATCTAGTATACCTCTCAAATACCTATGGTTATTCATGATTCAATAAATGTAAACGACAAAAAGTAAAATAATAATATATAGAAAGTAATAATTAATTTAACATGGTCTTTTATTAATTAATATGCTCCCACAGTTTAACTCAAATTTATGACCATCTCACATAAATTTATGGAATCCATGCTTGACTCCCAACAGGTTGAGATATCATTTGTAATATTAAAACCTTGAGTGTACTCAACAAGCCTTAATAAAACATTTGGGTAGATACTATTATCAATTGTATCTCCATATAACTCCCAAATCATTAATCTGACAACTCCTTGTCTTCACACATTTTATGTGTTAGCTTAACATGCCTCTAGAATTTATCTCCTTTAGTGTACACTATACCAAAAAAGGGCTTTAGCAGCGGCCAAAAAATTTTCCAAGTGTTACGGAGGTCGGTATTGCCGTTGAGGGAAGACTTTTTGCAGCGTTTATTCACCGTTGGGAAAAACCCTTTTGCAGCGTTTTTTAAACGTTGCGGTAGACCATTTTGCAGCATTTTTTCAACATTGCGAAAAACTCTTTTGCAACATTTTTTAAACGTTGCGGTAGACCCTTTTGCAACGTTTTTTCAACGTTGCGGTAGACTTTTTTTTTTTTTTACAATTATGGTAATTGAGTAATGGACCCACAAAATTAAAAATAACACTTTGTGAACACATTTTGGAATTGCATAAAAATTGATGATTTCATTATAAATTTTTGAATCATTACAAAATTCGAATGTGATACAACACAACCTATCTAAAAAGGAGTAAGATAAACAATACAATTGTTTCATCCATCATTCCACTAACTAGATTGCTGGAAGAAGTAGAGACATAAAATATCATCCTCAAATGCGTGTTCTACAAATTCCTCTGTGCTACTCTTCAGGTAAAGGTCGCCAAAATTGCCTCTTTGTCGCTCACAATCCAAGTAAATGGGGCTGCAACATCTTTGTCAGTGTACACTAAAACATCAAACACACCTACAGTTGTACATGAAAGAATCCATAACAAATGACAACATCAGTAGGTCACATCTTAAAAAGGACAGACATGACAAGCATAATATGGACAAAACTAAAACTTAGAGAACGAAATATGCATAATATAGTAAAATATAAAACTAATTCATCATCCATAAAGCTCAGAGAACGTTTTCTTACATTATTTTTTGCTATTTTTACATAAATGTTTAATAATTAAAGATTATATCCTAAATTTTTAAAATGAGGCTTTTCATGTCACTATAAATGTTTCAAGAATGTAGTGCATTGGACTAATCTTGTTGAGGAAGTGTTCTTCTAGTGTAAAAGAAATTAAAACAAACCATATGGAGTATTGGATATGTGTTAACACATGAAAACACCACCCTAATAGTAGTGTGTGCGCTCCGTAGGTCACCCAGTTTCAAAGTGAAAACTTACAGGGTTCATCAAGGCATGGCAAGTATGTGATGCTGGAAGCTATCTGTCTCATAATTGCTTGAATTTCCCTCATTATTTCGTTATCGCTCTTCTCCCTTGAAAATCTGAAAATCAAAATCCAAATCAATAGAAATTCAAACCACAAACATTTTTCTATCAAAAAGAAATTATTCAGAATCAGACGCATAGATTAAATTAGATTGCCCCTTATCAACGACCTCCCTATCAGTCTCAAAACTGAAATTCCACCTCTCTAAAACTTCGCCAGTGGCTTTGCTCATGATCACCAATACTACTCTCTTCAGTTTCCCAATTTCAAGCCATTCTTCACAAAATTCATACAAAATTAATTTAATTAATAATCCATTAAATCCCATTTCAAGAAAGCTCATATAATATAGAAATAAATAATTATTGAAAGGGGTTGGGAATTACCAGATAGCTGTGCAGTTAATTTTGAAATGAAGGATTTAACACCTTCATCTTGAGTGAGAAGCATGGGAAGCCCATATTTCTTGACCTTTCCAAAACTTTCTTCTGGATATATTCCACGATTGTGCAGAATACTAAAAATATTACCCAATCACCCAATTAAAAATTACCCAATACCCAATTATTTCGTCAAAATAAAGTTAAAAAGTCGTCGAGATTAGAGGAATCTTGGATTATTTCTTACCTATTTGCAGCATAACCTAGAAAGGGAACCCATAAATAAATAAAATAGTAAAGATTCTTGAAAATTTCACACACTAAAATTAAAGAAAAAAACCAAAGAGAGAAGAGGCATACCAAAGAATTCACTGACAATAGCGGTTAATCCACGGAGAGTGATTATATCTTTCGTACCATGGTTCACGTATTGACAAACTTGGAATATTGAGAGTGACCATCTACCATGGCTTAAAGAAAGATCGTGGTCCTAGATCTGAATTGCAGCTTTGAGAAACTACTGTAATAAAAACGTTTGAACTATGTTTCTCGGCCTCGGGTACGGGTATCGGATACGGGTACGTATCTGAGTGTCGGATCCTTTATCTTGTAAAATGTGGGATACGGGGACATGGTTAATAAGAGTCCAAATTTCGGACACGGGTACGTGGGTACGTTTTTCAAACTTTAATTTTATTTTTACTTTGATATTACAGTATTTTTCGAATTAAAAATGATGAATTGAAAAATTAAAAAAAATGATTAAATGTATTATTTGAATATTTTATTAAACTAAAAAATGTGCGGTGTAAAAACAATTTCATTATTAGTCCATCCATATTCATATTAAAATCCAATTAAATTCATCCATATTCATATTTTAAGCCCACCCATATCCAGCCCAATAAAAATGGCTCAGTACATTCTATTTTGTCAAGTTTTGAAAAATATTAATTTCAAAAAATACTATTAAATTGTTATAAAAAATTTATGTATGTTGATTTTATAATTATCTGGCAATTATTTTGGCCAAAACAAAATCATATTTTACGTTGTTTTAAAATTTTGTAACNTTGGCCAAAACAAAATCATATTTTAAATTGTTTTAAAATTTTGTAACAACATTAATTATGATATTTTTTTAAAGTAAAATGATCTTATCTAGATTAAAAGAACAAAAAGGATAATTAAGAAATAGTAAACATCGTGTAATTTGCTTATCCAATAAAACTGTAAAACTTGAAAAAAAAGATAAATAAATTCAACCAATAAAGATGTAATACT